GTGGCCGTGCCAACTCGGCAGGAATATACACGTCACCCTCGGCGTCGATCTTCTGCAGCTCCGTCTGGCACTCCTGGGCTGTCGCAGTCGTGGGCACCATGCCGCGAGACTTGAGGAGGAGCTTGTAGAACGCCTGAGACTTGTTACTCGGAAACTCCAGCTGGCCTTTGTTAATTAGCTCCCGCTGTGCAAGGAGGCATTGCAGGTAGAAGCGCTTGGATGGAAGTGCTCGGGCGTCATACTTCCGAACCCCCCTCTTGTGAACGACCAGCTGGTTCACGGCTTTGAACCCTCGTCCGTGCAGCTCATCCAGTAGACAGAGTACTGGTACCTTGGCGTCCGCCAGCGGCATCCTGGACGATTGCATTGGGCTGGTGGCGAAGCAGGCCCGCTTGCTTGCAGCGAGTGGGGATGTCAGCAGACATCCCAACCCCCTGCAAACTCAGAACAAGTGGCGCGTCCGTCTTTCACGCCATATGTCCTGCATGCAAGCGGCCCTGCACGCTCCAGCCCAGTGCAAGCGCCAACCCTAGGCTCGACCACGGACCACTTCACAATCTCCTTGCGATTGGCGGGGTCCGACCCGAACACCGAGAACACGTTGACGTAGGAGGGCGCCCCTTGGATTGAGAACACGTCCACTTGCATGGGGGCTGGCCCAGGAACGACATCAGGGCCCTGCAAGGCGTCGAACGGCAAAAGCGCCCACGTGGCTTGGTCCACCGCCGCCTTGTCGAACGTATCCACCAAAATGTCTCTGGCTTGTTTCGAAACAACCTGGTACACGCGAATCCCATCGTCGTCGAGACCGTCGCAAAGAGAGAAGTAGTCGAACTGGCTCAACGTGTGCTGCAAGAAGTCGAGCATCAACTTCTGCTGGTCGGTCATGCTGGCTGGCTGTCCACCACTCTCGTCATCGGCAGGGCCATCTGGGCCAGGTGCTCCAGAACCATGTGCGACGCCAAATACAGAATCACCAGGGGCTCGAAACTCATGGCCGCCATGCCCTCGGCAGATGCCCCGTCGATGAAACGCATCATGCGTGTGAAGTTGGTAGATGGTCTGCTTGATTCGACCTGGCTTTGCTCTGCAAGGACGGTTGGGGTCTTTCATGTTCACCACGCGTGACCAAGTATTCCAAATATGTTGCATCGTAGCCCCAGTCTCTCGAAGAAGGCCATCCTTGTCGCGCAAATTCTGGTTCAAGCGTAGCGTAGCAGATACGAAAGGAAACCGTGTCGACCTGCCGTTGGACAATATACGTTTGGCTGCAGCGTGAGGCCCTTCTGCAACATGATCATCAAAAGGAACATCTTTCAACGATTGAACCCTAGCAAAAAGAATATCTGGCATCTCCCCTCCGTTCTCGGCAAGCTTGTGCACGTGCACCTTGAGAACCGATGAAGGGCCGAGGAACTCCAACGTAAGAGGGTGGTGGGCCTCCAGCGGGGCCGATAAGAACTGTTGAATCGTCCGAGCCGCCACTCCAGGTTCGTCCAATCTAGCAAAAAGGTACGGCACTCGATCCAGAAACTCCAGTTTTCGAAGGCACAATGCTTGAGCGTATTTCACTGCACCGAAACACATGTTCCGTAGATCCACTTGGCCGCCGAAGTCTTGGAGCGTCCAGTCGTTGATGGTGTCCACGCCTGCCTGTGGAGCACCCAAACGCACGCAAGCCCAGCCCATGGACCTCCCTTCCCTCCTCCTCCCCCCGCCGCCGCCCTGGAGGAGGGTGAAGGTTTGGCCAATGGGCGTGGTTGAGTGCGTTTGCTCCCATGCTGCCGATAACCAGTGCTGCGCTCTGGTGAACGCGTAGGGCAGCATCCTGCCCTTCCTCGCGCACTCCACGTTCTCGCCGGCCTCGAGCTGCTCCTGGTGGCACTTGCAGCCGCCCCCCCACGACTGCAGCGACGTCAGCCAGAGCACGTACCACGACACGAACGTGAAGTGCAAGTGCCAATCCGAGCTCAGCAACGCCGACTTGACATGCTTCACGAGCGTGGTGTCTTTCAGCTTCTTGACGAAATCGAATCGGTCCCACATCCGTGTGAGTATCTGGAGAACTCCCTGTACTGCGTCGCACACCCTCGCAAGCGTTCCCCACCGCCACTGGGCGAAGTATGGAGCTTTCGTCTTAGAAACTGTCTGTGCCAAGACTGGGAACTCGCTCTTGATGGCCTTTGTGATGTCATCCCCGTAAGCGCGCAAGAAGTTGATCACAGCCTTGACCCCCGTCAACCACGCTGGGAAAAATGGATGGCTCGAAAGACCTCGCCTCAGGACAGTGTCCAATATATGCATCCATCCAGGTGACAGTAGTGCAACAGGAAACAATCTGGGTCCACGAACCACGTGGCGAGGTAAAGGAATCCCAACGTGCATGCAAAAGTCCACGAGGATGTCTGGCGATGCGGCCAGCAGCCGCTCGGTACCAAGATCACTTGTGATCGAGACCACCTTAGATAGAAATGTTCGCATCGCCACGTAGCTCTGTCCGACCATCAGCATGATTTTCCACAGCGCCGCGTACGTCTTCCCCTCCAGAGTCAATTGACCGTTCCCGATCTGAACGATCGGCAAAAGAAACCTGCGGTGCCACCACGATGTCGACGTCGACTTGATACAGTCCATGGATGTCCCCATCATCTCAACGCCTCGCCACTGAGGGGAACCGTCTGTGAACATGTAGATTGCCGTGTCGCGAAGGTTCAGCTCAAACCACAATCTCATGAGGACCATGCAGGCAATGTCGAATCTAACGCGTCCGACGCGGAGGATTTCTCGCCCAATGCTGAACGACTGAGCTGACAGCTCCGCTCCTGCAGTGGCACTGTGCTTGGCCAACACTTTTGCAAACGCTTTCTTTGCAGCATGAACGCCATCCAAGGACTTGAGGTACCGTGGCGCGTCCAGAAAGTCAATGGCGACCACCGCAGGATGCGTGGCAAACTTGTCAGGCAGGTTGTGTCGCACCACCTTGCTGAAGGAAGACCCGCGGCTCCCAGCCGCGATCGGGTGTGGACAATCGGACTTGTACTTCTCTCTCCAGAATTTGTATTCCTGCAGTGTCGGGCCAACTTTCAACAAGTGTTTTGAAGGCCTGTAGTTGTCTGTCAATGGTATCAGTTTCAATGCTGGCCACTGCGATGAGAGTCGCCGAGCAAACTCAAACGATGTAAATACAGGGAGCTTCGCCATTAATGATACATCCGCGTCGAGTGACAGGCGAGCCCACTCCTTTGCTTGTTCCGCACATGTCACAATATGCAGTCGATCGGTGTTGGCATAGGTCTCGCATGCTGCGATGTAGTTCCACACATTCCAAACCATCGGCGGCACAATGACAGACCTGATCAGTCGCTGACAATCAATAATATTGTAACCAATGCAACCGTAAACGTTTGATTTGCATTTTGTGGTTGCATGGTGAAGCATCTCGAGCGCATCTCTGTCAAGCTCGTTTATCATGTCACACGAAAGAGCTTCCCATCTGGCCAACGCGATCGACTCCACCTGGAGTGACTGTATGGTACCTCGTGCGTCGGTGAGCCTGAAGCCTGAGAAACCCGCAACTGAACATACAATCGCCAAGAACATGTCACCGTGGTCCGTGTGCTCTCGTGGTCTGCGCCCGCGCTTGCGGGAAGCCTCAACGCCTCGGGGGTGGGAGAGTGGCGGGCGTCGGCACGGGTTGGCAGGTGGCGTCGAACATCTAACCGTAGTGTTCCCGCAAACCGTCCTGATAACTGAAAACCCCGTTGGCCCTCAAGGGGCCCTCCTGGATGGCGTTCCACCCCACATGCTCGTCGACGTCGCCGTCCTCCTTCCCCCTGTCCTCCGTAGCCTCCTCGCCATCCACCCCCAAGTGCCCCCGTCCCCACCTCAACAGTTTCCAATGACATCTGATATCCCCTGCCCCCTGGACCAGGGACGACCAAACTCGCATCAGAGTTTCACCACGGCTGCCAAACCATGCCTATGACCCACCAATCGCTAACCCTCGACTCCCACGAAGCGTTGCAAGGCCCAGTGAGGTGGCCTTCACGGCCGATCAGCACATCGCCATCGATGTCCGCGAATGGGGCCTCAGCTGGAGACCCTGGCACGGACTCGTGATCGAAGTCCATAAAGATGTCGACATGAGCCAAAATGGCTGCGATGTTTGATGTTGTGTTGGATGCCCTAGAACAGCTGGCATGACACGAACGTGGCCCAATAACGTATGTCCGCCGCAGCCCCAAAAGCAGCGAGATGCGGGGATTCTGGCAATGTACCGCAGGGGCCCCCTCGAGGCCAATGTCCAAGTGCTGTGCTGAGGGCGGAGGTTTGATCCGCGAAACCCTTTGGGGGGACTCCAGTGGTGCTTCAGACTGCCCAATAATTCAGTAGCCACGGTAATGATGATGATGGTATTGACTGCGGTTGGAGAAGCGGAAGGGGCAGGAGGAGGATGGGAACCCTTGGGGTCCGCTGACATGCACTTGATATATTACCGAACATTATATGATAACGCGAAAATTGAAAATCCGTCCCAACGTTGCCCAGCCATGGCGAATCACTTTGCCTTGGTTTTTTGAGCCCCCACAAGGCTTTGTTGGCCTCTCAAGAGCCTCGTCTTGCGGGCAGCGTCGTCACTCTGAGCACTGTTTGTGGTTATGGGGGTATGTATTTCCCTACACTTGTGTGTATCTTTCGGTCTTGCCAGATCGATCTTCGGGATCGTCGGCAGGCGGTGGATATGGATATGTGGTTCCCACAGGGACCGAACACAGTCAACCCATATGATTAGGACACACGATGAGGATGCAAGAGCCTCGGAAGGCCATGCCGACACTTATGCGAGCGGGGAGCGGCCAGCGAGAGCGGCCAAGGATGCACCGAAGGGGAAGGATGCAGGGGCAACCTCGGAAAGCTGCTCATCCTTGCTGTGCGGGTGGACGGTACGCCCACCTCCACCGCCTGCCGAGGTCCCCGAAGACCCATCCCCCAGGCGGTGGTCATGGATACAGCCCCGACTTGCAGGTGTGCGTGCAGATTTTCTTCTCCGGGATGAGCCCCGTGGAGTGCCGGATCATGAACGCCAGGCGCTCCGTCGTGGCGCACGCCGCCGCCAGGGCCAGGCTGCAGCCGGCCGGCCCGTCCAGCCTGCCCGGGTCCGCCACGACGGCGCACTGGCCCCGGGACAGCGCCGCCAGCGCGGCCTCGACTGCCTCCCGGGCGGCGGCGCCGCCGTCGGCGGATTCGGCCGCCATGGCGCGGCCCTCGGCTGGAAGAAGACAGCACTGCCTCGACGCAAACTGTCGGCTGCAAACTGTCGGCTGCCGGCGCGGACTTCGTGGATCCGCGCAGGGCCCCCGCGCTGGCGCCGGACAAGGCATCTGCCCTGGCTGCAAGGCATCACCCGAGCAACCCTGGGGTCCCGCGCTCGGGGTTGCCTCCCTGGGCGGGCGCCGCCAACTGGGTGCCCGTGGTAACCGTCAACCAGGTTACCGCGGGAAACCTCGTGGAGCTCCCTGCACGCTTAGAAATGTACATACTTTCATTCGAGGAAACGACAAAACGGCATAAACATAAACCTTTGGCGCTCCGCGCGGATTTCTTGGATCTGCGCTGGACCCCCCCTCCCTGGCGCGCGGAGCGCCAAAAAATCATGTTTACGCCGTTATGCCTGCCTTATTCGATACATCAGAGAGCATCTGATCTCAATCGCTGGCTCCCAGCTCGGAACCCCCAACAGTTTACGCAGATTGCGAATGTTTCTTCTTCGGCTGTCCCCCGGAGCCAGCCACGGTGACCCGAGGCGCGGGCGTTCTGCCGAAGCTCGGGCCAACACGGCTACGGGAACTCTCTGCGGCCGTGGCGAAAGCAGGACACAGTGGAGGCCAGTCCACAAGAAACCTTCCACAAGAAACCCAACCCTGAGACACCAGGACGTCCATGGATTCTTGGCGTGGGAACGTCACGCTTTCCGTAGCCTCCACGGCAAAAGCCCCGAAACCCAAGAAACCCAGGGCACCCTGGCGGCAAGCACGGTGCTTCCTGGCATGGGTCTCCACCGTGGTCAGCTGCTCCGGGGCAGGGAAGTGGACCGGCGCCACGGCGAGAACTGCCAGACGACGACGAGAAGTGAGGACGCAGACTGGGGCTGCCTGCCGACAGGCAGGGCCGAGGCGGGAGCACCATGACTTCTGGCAGCCCGGAAGGCGGTCCCGAGGCCGTTGGCAAGCACGCGTTGCAACGAACGGCGGAAGGGCGCACTCACAGCCTCCGAAGCGACCCCCCGCGAGGCCAGGGCCACAGGGGGCTCCAAAACGGAGCGACACACTGCCGACACCCTGGGCCAGGGAAAGTCGGTCCCCGGAACCCTCCCTGGGTCCAAACGCACCATGCAATGTGCGACGGCGAGCACGGCACTCCGAGTCCGGGGCGGGGCTGGCGCTCGTGCGAGAGCCGCTGTGGGGCACGAGGGCAGCCAGCTGGTGGCTCCAAGGACATCGAGACGCCACTCGTTTGCCATCAGTGCGGTCGGTCGCGCATCTGCTGGCTGGCCCGTCGAGTCGCTGGCGACCGCCGCCAGCCTCACCGCTGTCCGACACCTCGCGAAGAGGCGCGCTGCCTGGCCGCGTACAGCGGCCCAACAGGAGCTGCACAGCTCCGGCAGCAGGAGGATCGCCGGTAGAATCCCCAGGAAGAGCACAGGGGAAAACCACAGCGGTCGGTCGAACCCCGACCATCGATCGGTCACTCTTGATGGGCGTGTTTTCCACCAACACCACCACAAGCTGGAGGAGGACGAGGAGGAGGACGACGAAGAGGAGGAGGAGGAGGAGGAGGAGGAGGAGGAGGAGGAGATGAAGGAGAAGGAGATGAAGGAGGAGGAGATGAAGGAGGAGGAGGAGGAGGAGGAGGAGAAGGAGGAGGAGGAGGAGGAGGAGCCCTTCCCCCTCCAACTTCTGGTGGTGGTGGTGGAAAGCACGCCCATCATCAGGGGCGTTTCTGGCCACGGCGGGCCCAAGGGCCCAAGGGCCGCAGGCGGGACTGCGGCGGAAAAGGCTCCAGAGCGGCCCGGCAGCCCGAGAGCCCATCCTGGGCCCCGGCGCCCCGGTGGGGAGCACCGCGCCAGGCCCCGGGAGCGCGGCGGCAGCCCTTGCGACGAGAGAGCGCCGCCTCTTTGGACGCCCGAAATGGGCACGGAAAGAATGGGTACAATGCCCAAGAGCAGTTCCTGTTCATTCTGAACAGGACTCGCTGTCCACGCCGCCGCGGCCTGTGTCCGTTCGAGACAGGAGGCCGCCTGCCCAACAGCGGCGGATGTTGGTTTGGGACAACATCTGTTGTTGGGCATTGTAACCTTTCTTTCCGTACCCATTTCGGGCGTCCAAAGCCTCGGGCTGGGGAGGAAGCGCCGGCGCCCGTCGCATGCCGCTGGGGAGCGGAGCGCACCGCCCGCCTCCTTCTCCCCCCCTCTGCACCGGCCCTCCCCTCGGGGGCGCGCAAACATGGATTCGCGATCCATGGATTTGGCGCGCGGTCGCCAAATCCATGGATCGGCGGAGGTGCCCTCTCCACAAGGCGGCCGGTGCCGCCTCGCTCGGCGGCGGAAATCCGCGATTTCCCACGGAAATGGGACCCGTCACTAATCCACGCCCCCTTACTCCATGTTTGCGATCGCCTGATCCCCCTGCCCCCATCGTCCCTCCATCCCCCCCCCCTCCTTGTCCTCTTCCAACTCCCCCTCGGCATCCTTGCTCCCCCGTCCTCCGTCTGCTGCCCCTCCTCCTGCTCCTCCTCCTGCTCCTCCTCCTCCTCCTCCTCCTCCTCCTCCTCCTCCTCCTCCTCTCCCCCTCCTCCCTTCCTCCCTCGTCCGTCCGACCACCCCTCCTCTCCCCCCTCCCTCCTACCCTCAGCCTCCTCCCTCCTCCCTCCTTCCTCCTCTGGCGAAACTCAGATCAGACATCTGGTAGCTGCTCGGGGAGATGAGTTCCTAACGAGGATCTCTCTGAAGCTGCTCTCCCTCGCTCGTGCCCTCATCCCCTCTCGCCGCTGGCATGTTGGTTCAGTGGGCGGCGAGGGCGGAAGCGCTCATTCACACCATGCTCGAGTTCGGTGATAAAAAGTATCCGACTCAATTGCTTCAACTGAGTGGGTCATCGTTTACACTGGCAGCCTGGAGCAAGACAATTCTACGGTTTCGAACCTGTATGTGGCGAGTATCCGTGCAGTTCACGCTGGTGCTCTACTTCATGTGTGTGCTCGTGCTAGACAGCAGCGCACTTCGTATCTTCATGTCACCTGCAGCCCATCAATAGGAACCGTTGTCATAAGCATCGGGAATTTCGACTAAATGGCGACGGCAAAGCAGCTGACCAACAGCGAGCCCGTCTACGTTGACAAATAACAGTTTTCAATACAATGGAGGCCCCACCTGCGGAGAAGAGCATGAGGAGAGGGCGACGCTAGGATACGATGCAAGCGAAGAGAATAGCCAAACGCTGTAGGCGCTGAAACTCGAGAACTCACTCAACGGCCGAGCGTGGAACCTCACACGGAAGGTGTCAGAGATCATGAAGGAGGAGCTGATTAAATTACAAGCGCGTGATGACCATCTTGCTGCAACTTGGCTTGTGGTGGCGACAGTTCGGAGAGCATACGTAAGGAATGCGCCACTACAAAAGCAAGGATTATGCGAGTTGTTTTTCGAGGCCTGCTGAGGCAGATCGGAACCAATTCAGAATCATGTTTCAAGACGTGAGACGGAGTACGAATTGTTGAAGCCACTATCAGCGTGGACGTCAATTAGCGAGAACCTGAGGACATATGTCCTGAAATTGGCAACCAGTACTATGTAGGAATGCAATGCGATTCTCGGACAATGCAACAACGAATACACGTGGGACGAAATGAGAACGGGCATGCGTATTAAACAAGACACTATTGGCCGTGATGGCAAAGACCGTGGCAGCATATATGGCGCCAGCAATGTAGAAGAATACGACGACGAGGACGCACTACTTGGGGATCGTGGCCAAGACAGTGACCGACCTAGCGACACAGCTTACGATGCTGTGGCAGTCAACCTTGACGAGTTCGAGGAGTGATCGGCGACGTCGACGTGGAAGAGACTAGCCAAAAAGAATGTGACACCTTGGCAACAGAGGCGCAGAAGCCGGGCTGGCAATCAAGACACAAAGATCACGAAATGCAATACAAAGATGCTTGGGACCAGCTCGCTCAAAGCAAGACGAACCGAGGCTGAAAGTCCGATGTCACCAACAGCGGCTCCATCAAGATATATAGCAAGGAGGCCCAAGAGAAGCTCAAGAAGATTAAGGCCCACACGAAATGCAATGCGTGCCACAAGAAGGGACACTGGAAAGGTGACCCAGAAGGCGAAAAGACGCGAAGCGGGAGCTCATCAAGTGTCCAGCGACACGGTGGGCGTGGCGGACTTGGAGGCATTCAAGGACGAACTGGAGGCTTTCGTCGTTGGGCAGACTTCGTAATGGCCACAGCGCTCAAACTTCTCATGGCCGACAGCTCTATGGACATGATGGCGATCCATAGGGTGATCGACCAGCTGGCGGCTATGGACGCTACCATGATAGAGGTCGACAGCCTGACGGACATCGAGAAGAACGTGGAAGTGATCAAGCCGTGGGAGCTCAATGTGGCGGTGGATCCACATGACCAACAACAACCAACACAACACGCACCTGAAGGAGACCCGGATCCAAAGAGATGGTCATATAGATGGCGAGTTTGTCGGCGACTAGGCGAGAGGCGTCTAGGACATTAGAGAGCGTGCTGATCACATACCAGGGACATGGATAACATGCGGAAATGAGATGGCAACCTTCAGAGATTCCATGCAGTGGTGCGTGGACTGGGCTTTGCATCGGATGCGGCAACTAGCCTGCATACATCACAGTGGAGCTAGCACAGACAAGTTTACGGAACCTCGCCTATGACATCTGCCTGGAATCGTGAGACAAGATGAAGGGGCTCGAATAAAATCATACGATCGACATGCAAACGTCTACGGGCATTATTGCGACAAACATGGTGGTGGAAAGAACGGCGATTCATAGGGCCCCGACCGAACAACAGGCCAAGATATGCCGAACCCGAATCAGAACGGTCACAGTCACTGGGGGAGGTTACCATCAAGTGGGTCAAGAGCGAGCAGATGCTGGCGGACTGCTTGACGAAGGCACTTTCGGGAGGCTATGCGAGGCTGGTCGTCACAACGACCCTTCAGGCACTCGGGCCTGACAGCAGGGCACCAACAACTCGCGGACGGAAGAAAACCGGACCAGAAAACATTTCAAATGGCAACAAGGTAGCCGCCATGAACTCGAACATGGCTGAGCACTTTAAATCGGAGCTGTACGACGACACCGAGTTGGAGAACACAGATGTATCCACATGGCAGGTGGAGGAGTACAACTCCAAGGACGAGTGCTTCTAAGACGAGGCTGACGAGGCCGAGGACAACAACGAGGACGTCGAAGCACTTCACCTGGAAGATGCGACGGACAACTACCCGATGGAGAAGATTGGCGCCCAACAGACTATCCAGATACCAGTCGGATGCCATTATATGTCAACTTAGCGAACTTGGAACGTATGGAATCTGCCTTTCCATGCCACTGGCTATTGTGACTGTGGCTCCTCTTAATAGCAGCAGTCATTATTACAATTTATGTCATGCAACCTACAAAAGACGTGAACGATGAATTCAGAATCGGAAGCACCAATGGATGTGGATAGCTCAAGCAATGACAACCTGTTCCAGATTTATGTGGAGATGCCAACGAAACAGCAGGCGATCATGGCGATCACGCTGAAGTCACAGAAGCAATACGACCACCACGAGAAATTCGATGACGAGTCCATGGGCGATGTGGGGACTCATCTTGAAGAACATGGTCTGAACAAACACTGGTTGTCAACTGTGGGCACCACGCGCATCAAGCCAGGCAAGCACGAAGGGAGCGAGCTCAAGGGTATTTTCGAGAAAGACAGAGGCTACGCCAATTCCCTCGAACGATGCCTGAAGCTGGACGTGGACGACGAGGATCTTACATGCAATCTGTGCATGCAAATCAAGGCGTACATGGCATACCATACTATACGCAATGCAATGAAAAAGTCAATCAGATCCGCGGCCAGGCAGCGAGTGAGCAGAGTGATATCATCCCCTCACAAACCCAGATAGAGCAGCTATGTCTTGATACATGTTGCGATGGTGGTTGCGCATAGCAATTGTAGTTAGCTTGCTGTCGACTTGCTGCGCAGTATTTCAGCAACGCTCCCGTTCCCTGAAATTCAGATCAGACATACTGTAGCTTGTAGGGGTGATGAACTCCTAACGCAGATCTCTCTGAAACTGCACTCTCTCTCTCTCTCTTTCTTTCTCTCGCTCGTGCAATCATTCCCTCTCGCTGGCATTTTGTTCCGTGGGTGACTATGGCGGATGCGCTGAGTCACAGCATACCCGAGTCCTGCGAAGATATCCGCCCTCCCCTGGTGGGTCTGTAGGCGCGTGAGATGATCCTCCCCCCAGGGCCCTGAAACTGAAAATTCGAGCCTCCCCCAAGCCCTGGGTGACCCCACCACGAACGCATCATGAGGGGATCGGAAGCCCCCGAACGAGCCAAAAAGAGCCCCACAACGCTCCCAAGATGGTCCAAGAAAATTCCGAATCGATGAAATATCATTCCAAGACGACCAGGATGGCTTCCAGACGGCCCAAGAGGCCTCCTGAGATGGCCCTAAGAGGGACAAGGGCAAGTTATCCCTTCCCTTGGGGAACATGCATCGTCAACATATTCCACGTCTCGGCCTGAACGGCGTTGAAGACGGCCCACGAAGCCTCAACACCGCTCAAGAAACGGCCCAGGAAGCCCCAAAGAGAGCCCCAAGACGGCCCACGAGGGTCCAATGACCGCCCGAGAGGTGGTCAAACTGGCGAACGAGAGCCCCAAGACGGCCCCAGAAAAGGCCCAAGAGCGGGAACCCGAACCAACAACCCGAGCTTTCCGCCCCAAGATGCACCTAGGAGGCCTGAAGAGGCCGCCAAGAAACCCCTAAAACGCGCCAAAAGTCCCAAGACAGCCCCCAAGAGGCTTCAAAACTGTTTCCAAAAAGGCCCCCGAGAGGCTTGTCAAACGGAGCTCGGGAAATGGTCGGGATGTCCAGGGACTGCGTGTTGAGCAAAATCGAGACGTCGGACCCCTGCGTCCACGATCCTCCAAGAATCTCAGCATGCGGCTGGGAAGCCCTGTGCACCTTCGAAAAAGCCGGAAACCCTCCAGGAATCTCCGAAAACTTGATGGGCCTGCTTTCCACCACCACCACCACCCTAAGTTGGAGGGGGGAAGGAGGCGGAGGAGGAGGAGGAGGACGAAGAGGAGGAGGAGGAAGAGGAGGAGGAGGAGGAGGAGGAGGAGGAGGAGGAGGAGGAGGAGGAGGGGGAGGAGGAGGAGGAGGCGGAGGAGGGGGAGGAGGAGGAGGAGGTGGAGGAGGAAGAGGAGGAGGAGGCGGTGGAGGAGGGCCCCCTCCAACGTATGGCGGTGGCGGTGGAAAACAGGCCCATCAAGACTGCTGAAACCTCCGACGCGACCGCATGCCTCCAAGAAGGGTGGCGCACGGCGAGGCCCCGACGAGTCCCGTGATGCTCACCACGGGTCTTTTGGGCCGTCTTCGGGCTCTGGCGCGACCTCGAGGCGCGTGCTTTGCAGAGGTCGGCTCTCCACAAGCCCCCACGGGGCTCCCATGGGCCCCACAAGCTCCCACGGGGCTCCCACGGGGCTCCCAAGGGCCCCACCACTGAGGGGCTGGCGGATGAGGCGCAAGCCTGTAGAATCCACGTCCGGAGGTGACGCGTTGCCGGAGGCAGGTCCGCGGATGTTGTGATGCAGCGTTCCGGCGAACGCCTTTACTGCAGTGCATCGAATCTACCCACAGATTGTAACTTGTCATCTGTGGTATTGTTTTGCACTGTGTCTCACCCCTGCCCCCCCCAGCGCTACGCCACATCCGTCGACCCAGGGTGGAGACACCCTCCCGTGGCTCAACAACCGACGGAGAATCAATGACGTGGGCCCGTTGGCCATCTTGGGGTCCAACAGGGCCTCCAGACGGATCACGATGGCCCCACGACGGCCCAAAACAGCCCCCAAATGGCCCAATACGGCCCCAAGAGGGTAAGAAGCTTCCAAAACGCCCCAAGCGGGCCCCAGGAGGACCCCCAAGAGCGCCTCCAGAGCCCAAATCATAGATTTCCCATCGGGTTTTGAACAATTTTGGCGTTCTCGCCTACTTCGACTCTCAGAAGCCCACGACGGCCGAACCAGCCTCCAAAATGGCCCCAAAACGGCGCGGGAAACCCTCGAAACGGTCCCGAGACGGCCCACGAGGGCCCCAAAACGGCCCAAAGAGGCTCCCCAAACGCCCCAAAAGGCCTCCAAGATGGCCTCAGAGGGCTCCAAGAGAACCCCAACGCGGCCTCTACAGGCCCCCAAGACGGCCTCTGAAAGGGACCAAACAGCGCAAGAGCACATCAAGACGGCCCAAGACGCTCACGCGGGGTTCCGAGAGGCTCCCCACAAGGCCCCCCAGAAGCTGCCACAAGGTCTCCAAGAAACCGAAATCGCCCCAGGACGGTCCAAGACTCCCCCAAGAGAACCCCAGCAGGAGGCCCCCCAAACGAACCCCAGGAGTCCCCCAGGAGGGGCCCAGGAGGCCTCCGAACGACTGGATTGTAAATGCTCCGAACTACTCCAAACAGCCGAAATACGCCCCGAAGAGGCACCAGAGGCGCCAGATGACTTCCACGATGCGCGCAAAACGCACTCTGGACGACACCAGGGCGGCCGAACGGCGTGCGAAACCCACGCGGCGGCAGACGAGCAGGTCAAACCATCTCACACCGACACATTGCGCCAGCTGTATCTGGAGGCAGGTCCGCGGATGCTGTAATGCAACGGATCCAATGTTTCCAATGATTACATTATTTGTGCATGTTGCATTACGTATTTCGTTATTATGTCCAAAAGGCCCCACAAAGGCTTCCACCGTGCCCCAGAACGTCTGGATTGCACGTGCTCCGGAAGTGCACCCCGCGAAGCGAGAGGAATCCACGTCCGGAAGTGACGTGTTGCCAGAGGCAGGTCCGCGGATGCTGTAATGCAATGTATCCAATGTTTCCAATGACTGCACAATTTGCGCGTGTTGTATCATGTTCAATGTTGATGTCTCCCTCCTACCCCCCCAGGGGCCACGCCACATCCGCCGACCAGGGTGCCCCCCCTCCTTCTGGAGCCCAAACGATGGGAAATCTATGATAAATCGATGATTAGGGCCCCTGTGGCCTCTTGGGGGTCCAAGAGTGCGTCCAGACAGGTAGCCTCAAGACGGGCCACGACGACCTCAAGACAGTCCAAGATGGCCCCAAGAGGGCCCCCCAAACCCCCAAGAAGGCTTGAAGGCCCCAGAGGGCCGCGAGAGGACCCCGAAGAGCGCCTCCAGAGGCCAAAATCATTGTTGTTTCCCTTCGGTGTTTGAAGGATTTTAGCGTTCTCGTCTTTTTCTAGGACGGCCCAAAGAGGCCCCAGGACGGCCCAAAGAGGCCCACAGGACGGTCCAGGAGGCCGCCAAGACGGCCCAATGGGACCCCTAGAGAACCCTAAGGCGGCCGCGAGAGGTCCACAGGATGGCCTCCGAAGGAGCCAAACGGCGCAAATGCGCCCCAAGACTGCCCAAGACGCCCCCAAGAGGACCCGAGAGGCCCCAAAGAAGCCCCCAAGAGGCCCCAAGAAGCCCACAAGAGGCCCCCAAGAGGCCTGAAAGAAGCTTCCACCAGGCCCCACAACGTCTGGACTGCACGTGCTCCGGACGTGCACCCCGCGAAGCGAGAGGAAACTCATCTGCATAAATTGAAAGGATCATCGTTTACACTCCCCTCCCCCTCCCCCTTCACCCTGCCCTCCTGCCCCTGCACATTCCCCTAATCCCCTCCTCTGCATCCTGCGATCCTCCCGCCTCCCACCTCCCCTCCCCCCCACCCCTCTTTGCTCCAAGCCCTCCCTTCGGGGATCTTCTGACCCGGCTCAATCCAAAACCGGGTAAGTCGGGCTTTGCAGGATCCTGCGAGATACTGCAGGATCCTGCATCCAAGCCTGGGTCAGTGCAACCCTGGCTCTGCAAGACCCTGCACGATCTGTGCCCCGCTTGCGTTGACCGCTGTCTCTTGAGCCCCGATCCCTCCTTCCTCTCCCCTTCTTCCTCGATGGCCCTCGCCGAGAAAAAACGCACACGTCCGAGCGATGCCACGCCACCTCCCCTTCCCCCCTCCTCCTCCTCCTCCTCCTCCTCCTCCTCCTCCTCCTCCTCCTCCTCCTCCTTCCACTTCCCTCCCCGGCGCACCCATGGCTCAGGCCATGCCCGCCCGCGGCCGTCGCGTGGGCCCCGACACGCGCCCGGGGAGGCGCGCCCTGGAGCGGCGGGTCGCCCGGAGCGGCGGCGGGGGGGAGGGCGGAGGTCGAGGGCGAGGGAGGAGGAGGAGGAGGAGGAGGAGGAGGAGGAGGAGGAGGAGGAGGAGGAAGAGGAGGAGGAGGCGGAGGAGGAGGAGGAGGGAGGGGATGAGCATCGTTTGACCGATCCCTATCCCCGGCGGCGTGGCCCGGACCCCACTGGCCGATTTACCCCCTAGATGGGGATGTAGGTCGTTCCCTTCGGGTTTCGAGGGTTGTATCCCCAACTGGGGTCGTAAGCTGGTGGGGTCTCGAAGGGGATGGGGATGGGGATGGGGATGGGGTAAACGATACCGGAAGGAGCGAGGGCGCCCCGGGCGGCCGAGGGCGGAGGGCGGAGTGCGGAGGGCGGGGACGAGCGGGCGAGGACGAGGGCGACGACAGCGACGACGAGAGCGACGACGGGGCCTCCGACGACGACACGCGAAGACGACGAGCCCCCCCCAGGGAGGAGGAGAGACCAGGCAAGCAGCACGCATCGCAAATAGCGAGAACACGTTGGGGGGGATGGCGTCAACGCACGCGCGAGCCCCAACCGTAAAAACGACCTGAGTCCGGCTACTACAGCCTGATTGCACCACCTTGATCCCCCCAAAATGCGCATGTGGGAGTGACTGAAGGGGGGAGAGGAGAGGAGGGCAGAGGAGGAGGAAGCGGGAGCGGGAGGAGAGGGTAGGGGAGGAGAAAGAGGGGCGGAGGCCGGTCTTTCTCCTCCTCCTCCTCCTCCTCCTCCTCCTCTTCCACCTCCTCCGCCTCCTGGCGCAGCTCGTCCTGCTGCTAATGTTGCTCCCCACCCTCCCCTCTCAGCTCCGGCGCCCGTTCACGAGGAGGGAGAAGAAACGTACACCTTCCCAGCACCGTCTGGGCCCGCAGTGGCAGTTTGAAGGCCGCTCGTGGCCCCTGTGCGGCCACTTTCTCCCTCCGGGGTGGCCACTTCCTGCACCTTCTCAACTACGATGCGAGGACTGGGTCGTACGAGAACGCAGGCAGTGGCAGCAGGCCCTGTTGCCGCATGGGGTCGGGCGAGGCACATTCCAACTACAATGAGGGGATCAGCTCGTGCGAGAAGGCAGTGGCAGCAGGCGGAAACGTCTCCATCTACAACCCTGCTGTGACTGGCCCAGAAACGGCTCGGCTAGCTTGAAGGGCCTCGGCCGGCGATTCGCCTGCGGCTAATATACCGTTCATCCCGCTCTAATCCGCTCCAATCCGTTTATTGCCCACCCGCTACCAAACGCCCAAAAAATCCACCGCTCCGGTCTGGCGGCGAGCAGGCAGGGGTCTTGTGTGCCTGGGGGCCGGGCCGCAAGGACGGCCGGTGGTAGGGGGGGGCGCTCGTGGGCGCGGCTCTTGGGCGCAGCCCCTCGGAGGCCGTGCCCTGCGCTGCGGACCTCCTCGTCGTCATCGAGGGCGGGAGGGACCTCTAGCAAAAAAGAACGATTCCCCGAACGGTGCTTGCATTTGGGGATCCTTACTTCAACGCTCAGGAACTGGGCCGGGGTGGCGGTCTGGCGGCTCCGTGCTCGCCGTGGCCGCCCCGTTGCCGCCAATCGTCTGGGCCCGGGTGGCGGTCTGGCGGCTCCGTGCTCGCTGTGGCCGCCCCATCGCCGCCCGTCGTCTGGGCCTTGGAGGCTGTCTGGCGGCTATGTGCTCGCCGTCGACGCCCCGTCGCCGCGTCGTCGCCGCCAGAGACTGCACATCATAGATCGTACCGCATATATACTGCATCACAAGGATTGCACCGCATGGATTGCACCACGTAGATTGCACCACAGATATTGCATTACATTGCCTGCACAACATAGCTTGCACCACACATTCATGGCACAACATAACTTGCACCACGATATCTGCACCACATAGGTTGCGCACCACATATGTTCCACAACACAGTGCACCACATAGGTTGCACCATACATGCTGCACAACATTGATTGAACTGCATAGTTCGTTTGGACCACATGAGTTGTACAACATAGACTGTACCACGTAGACTGCACAGCACAGGTTGCACAACATATCCTGCCTTACATGCGTTCACTATATAGGCTGCACCACATAGGACTGCACCACATGGATTACACAACATGAAGTACAGAACATCTACTGAACAATCTGGATTGCACAACATCAGCTGCACCACCTAGGTTGCATCATATCAGAGTGAGGGGGCCGAACCATCATTCATTGTCCCTGGGTGCGTGGCTGAATCAGGAATTCGTGGTGAGAATTCTGCTTGGTGCGTTGTTGTTGCTACTGTTGCTGTTGTTTTTTCCCACCCGCGACCCACCCGCGACGCACTCCAGCGACGCACCCCGCTACGCACCCGGCGACGCACCCCGCGACCCACCCCGCGACCCACCCCGCGACCCACCCCGCGACCAACCCGCGACCCAACCCACGACCCACCCGCGACCCACCCCGCGACCCACCCCGCGACCCACCCCGCGACCCACCCCGCGACCCACCCCGCGACCCACCCGCGAACCACCCCGCGACCCATCCGCGACCCATCCGCGACCCACCCTCGGCCCACCCCGCGACCCACCCGCGACCCACCCCGCGACCCACCCTCCAGGGAAGAAAAAACCACCCGGACCCGACAATTGACGGTTACTAAGCGGCTCTGGGCGTTTACTAAACAGCCCTACCCTGTTCGATTCATGCCTTGTGTGCGTTTACTAAATGGCTTCGCTTGTCGGGGTGATTATTATGGGGTGGATTTTCTGCCCTCTACACCCGCGACCTATTTGCGACCCACCCGGGACCTACCCACATTGGTTTACCGAAAGCATCGGCGCCTGCAGCGGGCTCGTTGAATAATTTATGAAACGTTGGCGCCTGCAGCGGGCTTCTCCAGAGTCTCGAAAACTGCCGACGTCCCCACCGCCCCCCCACTCTTATCCGCATCTGCGGAATGCTACGTAGTTACATTGCACCACATAAATCGCACAACACATAATCCTAGAGACACGTGATTCGAATTCCATGCTGGCTAACACAATAAGGCTCATATTAATACCGGTGTCAAGAAACATAAACTGATAATGCGTAGCCTGGCGAAGGACCACCCCATATGGATGTATGAGCACAGCAGGTCTGATCATCGTCTTCGATGGAGCTGCTAATGGGCCCACGAAACGTGTGAGGGGTGTGCCGAAGTTAGTTTGGGGGGGGGACGCGTGCGAACACCAACACTAGGGTCTTGGGTTTACACAACATCCGACTATCTGTACAATAATTAACCGTTCAACACCTTTATTCCGCGATCACGAAGCCGAGCTCGAGAAGATCGTGCCAGACTCTGTGTTGGATTCCTTGGACGGGCCAAGCACTCTTCCCAAGACCCCTACTCGGAGCAAGCGCCGCCTGGGTACCCAATTGGGAAGCTCGTTAATCCATCGACAGATGCGCCACTGGGCCCAACGGTTCAAGTACATCGTATCCACAGCCCGCTTCAGATGGATGACGTCGACGATCACACGAAGCAGGACGAGACAGGAAAGAAGGTGGAGGGGGCGCAAGAGGGGAAGGGAAATGAAGGTAGCACAATGCGCGCGCTGCATTTCCGCGGACCGGGGACAAAAAGAATGCAAAGATAATCAAGAGACGTCACGCTCAAAACCATCGCCGGACTCATGGACTAGAGGCTTGAGCCGTTCCCCCAGAGTATCAGCAACATGGCAGAACACGTTTAGCGAGTCGAGAACACCATAGGTGAGGTCACCGACGAAGTTCGCAACATCAAGGTCGACATGAAGAGCGTGTACGCTAATACATCCAGGATCGACCATACCCTGGGCCACATGGACATGAAATTCGGGACCATCGACGCCGAGCTGTCCGCGCAGAAAGCTCACATTGAAGAGCTGGCGGCAGCCACGTCGGGAAGGGCTTCGGGGGCAAGCTCAATTTTTCAGGAGAGGGGAGAACGGTTGAGGCCGAGCTTCGAGCGAAGGTCTTGAATCTCGAGGGCAAGATCGGTAAGCTCTCGTTGGCTCCTTTCAGAATCGTTGCGGGGAGCTTCGGGACGGACTGGTCTACTGGTCTGAAGATGATGCTGCCACATGGTTGCGAGACCGCCTCAGTTGCGACGGAGGTCCAATGCCCAACAGCATTCGCGCCAAGGGCATGTTTTCAGGCCTCCTGTACGCCGACTTCGCGTCGGGGGGTGACCAGGTCGCGCTATCAATAAAATCCCGACTTCACTCACGATTAGTTTGGAATGGCACTACTATTTGGGCCAAACCCAACATTCCTCTTGAACAACGCCTGCCCGAGTCGTTCGCGTTCTCCGTGAAGAAACTTATGGTGGAGTGGGGATGTTTCCGGAGCGCGCTGTACGTTGCTAGGGAATACGCCACCTTGTACTTAGGCAACAAGAAATTTGTTTCACCCCAGGTTTGCGGGTATACTCTGGAGCTCTCTTTTTCGGGAACTGTTGGCAGCAGGAGCGTCAGGGCCCGAAGTTCGACAAACTGTTCAACGACGCTCAGGAGAAACGTCTCACAAAGAAGTTCAGGGCGAAAGGCAAGGGAAAGGGGTGAGAGAAGGGCACGGGCAATTCTCAAGGCAGGTCTTGGGGACAGCACGGATCGAATGCCAACGACGTCATGAACTCAGAATTCGTAGACGGAACTGGGGACCAACAACGCCCTTAATATGAATTCAAGATCTTCGCAAACTCGCGCGCGTGAACTCCACCGACAGGCAGGCCGAATTACTGAGCGAGCTTGACGATATTGAGTGGGACGTTCTGTTTGAGCGAAACAGGGACACAGTCATCTGACCATGATTATCAAGAGGCCATCGTTTAATGTCTGCGTTGTCCGAGTACAAGATTGCAGAAGTAGCAATATTGTTTCACCTGAGGTATACCGATTGTCTGTGGCAAGAA